AAGAGTCTGAGACGCCAAGTGTTTCTTCTGTGTGAGGTCCCTGGTGCTGTCCTTCATGTGTACACACATATTTCACTGTTTGATAGCGCTGCGAAGCAGATGACATCAATGTCAGCGTGACTCTTTGATGTGTGCTGCCTGACTTAAGAAAATGACTGATACAGCATAAAATTCTATTTCTGTCTTTTGACAGTTACTATATATTCTGTATTTATTTTTAGACTACAATATACAGAGACAGTCCTCTACTAAAGACTACTTAAAGAAAACAAGCTGACAGTGAAGTGATCATATGAGTCCAGTTACTTAAAGGCAAAATACTACATTTAGCTGTAGTAAACTTCACAGCATGTCCACCCTATAGTGAGACTTTAAAAAACTACACAAGGTGCCATAGGCTGCCATCTAGAACATTATGTGTGGACATGGAAGGCTGCTGGTAAATGTAGTGTTCTCTTTAACAGGGATCTTCCACGGTAGTGCTGGGGGCATGAGCTCAGGACACACATGGCACTGAGGGACACCAGAGCGGTCCTACCAAATCCCGTTAGGTAAGCCTGGGTTAGTGATTCCACGCTGCGAGACACTGGCTAGCAGATCCGTCACGTTCCCACTACATCAAAGGAAAGTACAGCGCTGCACCCCCTCCACACCCCCTCTTTCTCGCCATGAGGATCTGCAATTGAGGGTCCAAAGGGAAAAAAAAAAAAAAAAAAAAAAAAAGAGGCCACGCCGCCAAAAAATGAAGACACAAAACAAAGACCAAAAAAAACACAACCACGAGCAAAGAGAGGAAGCTCACTTTACTCTCAACACACACACAAGAGACCAACACACACAAACAAGCGGCAACATAATACCCACACACAAAAACACAAACACCAAAAAGCAATAATAAAAAATCTGCGATTCTATCCGTTCCTCTCCTCAAGCTGTTGCACAGACCATGAGACTGTTCTGACACAGCTGGAGATCACCAACACATCTTCACAGTCAGGTGAAAAACCATGTACTGTATCTCTGTACGATCAACATTTCAAAACTACAAACACACACTGTCTTTATCTTGTCACCCATGCATTTTTGAGTTTATTTAAAAGGATTTACGTAAATAAGTTTTTGTGATTTTAACAAAAGGGAAATGTGCATGTGACAATGGCAACATGACCTGAGAATAGATTTAAGGCCATTTGCATGCCTGTTGATCTTTATTTAGAAGCTGTCATTTTTTATTTCTCACTTGAGTTCCCTCAAAGCAGCAAACTCCTGCTCCCAAACATCAAATTTGGAGTGATGACATCCTAACTGCTTCAAAAGACAATACTTCTCAACCATTATAATCACTGCCATTATGGGGAATTCTGATAATTCAGACCAGAAACCGTAATAGCATGTTTCATTTGTCACTATAAATGACATCACAGAAGCCAGAGAAATCACAATCCTTTCCCCTTCTTCATAATAATCTGTCCTAGTTTTACACACCAGAGGCCAAAGCTTATAATAAACAAGTATAAATATAAGAGTAAATGTCTCTTCACATTATCTCATGCATCGGAAAGACACACTGATCTGATCAGAACGGAGAAGACATCAAACTAGAAGACACACGGCAAGATTTCTTCTGGAGAATTTTGATTTCTCAATGATATATACTGTATACTGTATGCTTGACTGGGTTTTTAACATGTTCCCATATGCATATCAGAGACACTGTTGTTGTGGCAGTGAGGTGAGATGACAGAAAAACCTAATTTCTAAAAGTTACATGAATCCTATAAATAAATGATTTAATCTTACATCAGACTATAACCGAAATAAAGTATACATATACATACACACATACACACATACATACACTTCATATATACCAGCCAATTTCCTGCATTAACCTAATTCCTCTGAATATCCTCCTTTTTTGTGTGTGCATATAAAAATAGACAACACGATGAATAATATTAACTCAAAATGGGCAAGTATGACGATCACTATAAATCATATACAGCTACACCAGCTCCAAGCATCTTGTGCAATTAAAACAATGTCCTTTTTGCTGCTCCAAGATCCACATCACATGATGGTGAACTTCCAACTCGCCACACTTTCTGGACAGGATGCCCTGCAGACTCCACATCCTAAAACAGCTATAGGTTTACATAAACATCAGGGTATTCATAACACACCAGTGGCTCTTTGAAGTGGTCAGCGTTGTTTTAAATCCACATTTATATGCAACTGAACACCATTAGGCATCTTGACACCGAAATCTCAAGTCTTGTGGCGGAGGCGACTTATCAAGCTAGAAGCCCTAAAATCTGCTGACAATCAGCTACTCCCAACAGCTCCATCATGACTGGACGGCATGTGCAGGAATGTCATGGTCAATGGAAATCAATCTAAACTACTGGGATTGGGGGCGGCAGTGGGGCTGGGGATGGAAGAGAATGAAAGAGAGAATGTGCCTTTGATCTCAGTGAAAACCGATCCCAGGCCTGCAGATACTGTGGCTGCGGTGGCCAGCAGCAGAGGCAGCGAGCTGACATCAGTGAGAAAGCCAGAGGACTCGTGTTCCGTGATCCTTCCACCAAGCCTTGGCTCTTTTTATTGGATAAGTGAGAGAAACGTATATAAAATGACTACCGTTTTATTGAAGACAGGGCGAGGGGAGGGGGGGGATTGGGTGGAAAAAAATAAGCAGCCATGGTAAATGAAATGAAAGCGAGGCTTTAAAAGTTTTGGCAGCAAGTGCCTGGCCTAATTCATCTGCAGTGAGGGGTAATTTCCTCTCATACAGTCAGCTGGTCTCCATACAGACCTTTGAGTTTTTCACTGTGTACGATGGAGTAATTGATAAAATTGACCAGAAAACAAGCCATAAAAAGAGAATTTGGAAAGCATCACATCCCACATTTCATACACCATTCTATTAGTAAGCTGAAGAGGGCGAATCATGAGGTAATCAGGATCACGTTTTCTCCACAATGTCACATACTTTCACCCTGCGCAACTTTGGCAGAGGGGGAAGCAATGCAATTTTAACATCATTCCGCGATCGAGTTGCGTGTGAATGAGGTTCCTTTGCACACAGCATGTGGCATCTGCCCCCGACAATCACATCTGCCTCCGAAAGTCGATTCTTATAATAACACAGAACTCACATTTCACAACTTTACCCTGATGAAACCGACTCGTACGCACTGAAGAAGCACAAACAACCCAGAGCCTTCGGTTCCTCTGCACCATGTGTGAGCGTTTCCTGTATAGGAGGCACCAAACGCCAGACTGAAGCTGGTTGTCTTCCCAAGTGTGATACAGAGACGTGGACAAAACAGGATTAGAGTGGACAGCTGCTGATGTGCCCTGCATTTTATGTCTGTCTTGAGAGGAGAAATTTGCAAACGGGACAGACACAGGAAGCCGCCAGTGAGAGACCTGCAGCTGGCCTGAAATTAATACCGTTACAGGGACGATATCTACAACAACACACGCCACCCCTGGACGGCACCATAAACTCCTCTGCAGGGCAGCCTCAGAGACATGATGTTGCCTTTTAGGCCTCCTCTGTCATGCTGGGCTAATTAGAGGGCTTACTTGGGTCATGTAGACATGCATCACTTGGGATTTTAACAAGATGAGAAATACTGTATATCTCATGTTAATCTTCTGGAAAGTATGGCAGGCATTTGGTTACCAAGTATCACATTATGGTTGTCAAGGGGAAGGGAGTAAGCAATGCTGGTCTCACAAACATACAGCACATTTAACATTGCAAACATTGGTAGGGAATATTTTCTGGTTTTTAAGTTTTAAGTATTATCATATGAAGTGAAGTTTGTTAGTTTGAAAGTCAAGAAATGTGGTCTGGCACCTGCAATGATCTTTAATGAAACAAATCTGTCATTACTTTTAATCCACAGTCTAAGTTGTTGGTCAATAACTTTTTTTACAGGGATCGTTCCCTCATTTAACCTTGATATTCCAAACTAAATGTCTTGGTATGATTAGTAAATATTAAATGTTTATTTGACAATAAAATACACTGCATGTATTTTGACCCAATGTACTATTTTTATCTAAGAGACCATGAGAACAGTCCTATACTGATCTTTTATTTAACCTCATGTAGGGTTGCAACTATGGACTTCCTTATTAGTCTAATCTCATTATTTTTTTATTTTTTTATTGGTCTCTTAATGTTCCAAAAATAACACTGACATATAACAAGTTACCGCAGCTTGAAACAATATTTAAAATGTTCTTATTTTGTCAAACCAGCAGTATAAATATATAGCGAAATACACATAAATGCTCACATTTGAGAAGCTCAACAACATCAAACATTTGAGAGTTTTACTTTATTAGAAACAAACAAAATCAACTATCATAATTAGGGCCAGAAATGGGTGCGCATTTTACAGTACCTAATAATTTGCATGGCAATACTTTGTAAGTAATAAGTATTGCAATCCTTTGAACATACTTTTTATTGATTTCTAATTACATTATCAAGGACCTCTAATTGAATCACTGATTAATAATATCATAAGTAAGAGCTTTTAAAAGTGAGACAGCGTATCAGGTACAGCAACAGGTTTCTTTCTTCTTCCTCAGTCTACATGTTACATAAATTGTATTACTATGACAGAGTTTACAAACAACTTTTGTCATCTCGCTTCACTTCGTGTTGAAACTGTGAAATCTGAAACAAAGTAGAACTTGGGTTTAACCTGACCAGGTGCCACCTGATCTATCATCATCCTCCATGTTAGTTTTTGCTTTCAATCCCACAAGTGCATGTTAATAAACAAAGCAAAGCATCACTTAACCAACTTTTAATAGAATTAAAAAATATATGTATAATGTATGTCCGTGTTTTGACATACATTCTCAGGCTCAAGTTCAGTGTTACACCAACAGCATTTCATGACATGCCACAATGTCATACGAGTTAAACTGATAAACTGACTTGTAGAATAAAAGAAAAAGAAGTTGGTACTGACCGTTCTGGGCATGGGCGGCGAGAGGGAGCCATTGTTCATGTAGGAGGAGTCGTTCATGTTGCTCATCATGATGTAACCTGGGTAGCCCGTGTACGGATGCCCTTTACTGTACATGTCTTGAAGTTTTCCTGATAAAAAAAAGGGGTTCAAAGCAACAATTTACTGTGTGTTGGCAAAAAGCTCACATGAGGCAATTTTTACATTTATCAACATGAAAACTCTAAATTTCTCACTACACTAAGACTTTGAAAACACAAACAAATCTTACAAATGACACATTCTGAATGTGCTTCAGCTAATAAAATCAGGCGAAAATAATTAGAAAGCTTAACACAAAGTTCGCCTCCCTGTTTTGATGCTGTAATGATATCACTGCCGATCGCTTTAACCCATGCCCTATTTTGCCTCGGCCTTTTGTTTGTGCCCTTTCTTCCTGTCTTGGAGAGGAGGGTCGTATTATGCAGAGGAACAATGGAGCCCCTCTGTGCCAATTAGCACCAATTAGAAGAACATACAGACTGTGTCAAAACAGGAGACGCCCCAACTGTTCCTCTATGCCTTTGACCTGAGAGGGGAAGCTTTATGCAAGAGGCCTCAATACAGCGCCACTCAACTGCACGCTGTGTAATAAGGCCGGGGGGGGGGGGGGG